CTTTGTGCTTGCCAGGGAAGCATTTATTCCACTGAGCCATCTCCTTGGCCCCTGTGTCCCAAATTTTCTGATCAAGGAGATTATGGAACCACAGAGCATCATGATCGATGACATAGAGTGTGCCTAAGGAGAGTCACATGGAGAGAAAACATTCTCTCAGGCTTTCACAAAGAGCAAATTGGTCAAGCAATGGCTGTGACTCATCCACATGGCTGATGCTGACAAAGGATCTGTAACCTGCAGTACAGGGTTACAAGATGAATCCTGAGGGTACTTGACCGACCTTATCAGACACAAAAGTTACATTTCTTGTTATATAGGTTTTTCTTTATCTTGGTCTTAACCACCCAGCAGAAAAGTATAAAAACGAGGTATATGAAGTAAAGCCATATTAATATGCTGAGCTGTGAAAGGCTCAAGTCAAGAGCTTCTGTGGATAAGTCCACTACTATTGTGGACTACTGGACTGTGTTGGATTGTTTTGCTGAATTCATGCACCTATAGTATTTAGATGCCAAAAGAATACCCACTTCTGACAGGACTAAACAAAAAAAGGGATACAAAGGAATGACCATTTTGTATCTGCATATGCAGAATAGTTAGGATAGATACAGCTATTTTTATTTAATTTGATGAGAAGAAAGGTGGGGTTCAGACCACCACTAAAGGATTTGAAAATGATCAAATGGATTCAAACACTAATAGTGTTTGGACAGGATATCCTGTGTGCATCTTGTACTATGGATAACAACTGAGAAGATAACAATGTACAATGTATTAATTATTGAAACTGTCTTATTAATCAGTTTTGAAACTATCTTATTGCTACTTGTTTTTCAATAAAATAAATACAAAAAAGAATAAGCGCTTCCCTGGCAAGTGCAAAGGCATGAGTTCAATCCCTGGTTCTGCCAAAAAATAAAAATAAATAAATAAATAAATAAAATATCTGAAATGAGTTTGAGGTGCCAACTTTGAGAAATGGAAATAATAATGAATTTTAATTAGTGTACTGTTTAATGAACAAGTTATATTTTTAATTTTTTAGGACACAGTCATATACATAAAGATTTGGGAGAAAGGTGTGGTTCAGACCACCAATAAAGGATTTGAAAATGATCAAAATATTTTATTACATGTACTGATTTTCCCAAACAAAAATACCTGACCTGTACTACAAACATACCCTAACTACAAATTTTATTTTATTTTTGAGGAGTATTGAAAGCAAATTTACTAAAATTTTTATATTCTATAATTTACAACTAATGGTTGTGGTTATCCATTATTCTAACCATCAAAGAAAAAATTAGATTGATGACTTTACTGAGATAACATGGGAGGCAAAAAATTGAGTTTTAAAGCAAGACAGTTAACAGATATTCCATGTAATACAAATTTTAGAAAAAATGGCAATGGCTTAAATATTGTATAACATTACAGTAATTTTGATAGTTTGATCGTGAGCCCATAAACTCAAAGTTCATCAATAGGTTAAAGGTACATACTGGTTTAGTTTATTTATTTTTTGTGGAACCAGGGATTGAACTCAGGTCCTTGTGCTTGCCAGGGAAGCGCTTATTCTACTGAGCCATCTCCCTGGCCCTACATACTGGTTTAGAATAAAATGACATTTCAAGCAGATAAAAATTCGCACCAGCACAAATACATACACAAAATGTTTCTTTTCTCAGTCCTCGGGTGTACCTCACTGCCCCAAGAAGTGTGAGCCCCGCAGGAGTCCTGTCTCCCCTAACCACCTGCAATGCCAAATCCTAAAGTTAGGTGTGCAACAGCTCCTCGCTGCATTCCCGAGCAAGGCTGAGCCCACCCTTGAAACGTACCATGAACACTGTTGCACGTGTTACCCTTAGTGCTCATGAGTATCGCAGGCACTGACTCCACACTTTCAGAAGCTTTGACCAGGGCCACAGGACCACACAGTCTGCCATTTACGTGTCATCCTTGCACAGGGGCCATGCTAATCTTCTCTGTATCATTCCAATTTTAGTATATGTGCTGCCAAAGTGAGCACACAGTCTGCCATTTAAATCGTGCATGAGTTGGGCTCTATGCTGCGAATCATACACTGCTAGCATGTAGCCTCTTTGTGAACTTAAAAAAAAAATTGAAATCCTCCCCCAGTGTTCTGTACTTGCCTATTCTTTTTCAGAGTGCAATAATTAATTACAGTGAATTGTGTAAAGAAAAATAAATGCTTAGCATTTAGACAGTTTATCCTACAAGGTAAAAAATTTTCTTGAATAATCAATTTTTATTGCATAAAGATGAGTCTTACTAGAAATTTTGAAAGAAGTTGTTGAAAGCATTCAGGAATGATGGAAACTTCATTTGTATTTCCTAAGGAATCATCAAAGATCTTTCACATTTGGAGTGGGCACCGTGTCCCTACGGGGAAAGCTGCGTATCATATCATGGTGTAAGGGCTCTCCTGGGTGTTAAATATTCCTGTCACCCTGCACTCATTTCTTTTTCTTTTTCTTTTTTCTTTTTTTTTTTTTTGGGGGAACCTGGGATTGAACTCAGGCCCCTGCGCTTGCCAGGGAAGCGCTTATTCCACTAAGCCATTTCCCCAGGGCCCATGTACTCATTTTTACGTCATTCTCAGCAAAACTTTAAGAGCAAGTGAGATGACTAGATAAGTCTCATGTTTCCATTTAGAAATCCAAGCTATCATTATCAACCATCAAGCACAGATACAAGGGAACTCTGAGCCAGAAAAAGTGGTTAAAACAGTCTCTTCCACTTCAGTGCTAGGATTAAAGTGTAAAAACCCAAAGCCAGGCCGATACTGTCCCACACTGCAGCCCCAAAATCAATAGAGACCTGCATCTTGTGGGTCCATGATAAGAATCCTCCTGCTTTCCAGAAGGCCCCAAATGCTTTTCTGCCCCAGAAGAATGTGGTGGAGGGGCTGTTGATGAATGGAAGGTGCTTATGTTTACTGAAGTGTATTAAAATAGTTTTTGCTCATAATGGGGACAATTTTCAGGTCCTATTTAGGAATCAGTTGGCAGAGAAACAGTTATAAGAAAAGCAATTTCAATTTTGATGAGAATATATCCCATGTCTATGCGGACATCATAGATAAAATAGCTTTCCATCTTAAAAAAAATGAAAGAAATAATCCTAGAAAACATGCTATTAGAAGGAATGATGGAAACAACTTTAAAAACCTATACCAGGAAAATAAAAGTTATAGAAAATATCTTAAATTAGTAATTTTAACCCCTCTTGTACACTAGACACAGGAATCATTTTCAGTGTCTATGGCACTTGGAAAGCAAGTTAACATTTGCAAATTTATTAGTCAAAGCAACAGTTATCTAAAATTTTATATGTAGAACAATAAAGATCATGAAAGAGATAAAATCCCAGCAAAACCTCACCATAACTTTCCCAGCACTGATAGTAATGGTGATGTTCCTAAATATTCTTTTTTTTTTTTTTTTTTTTTTGCTCCGAATGCCTTCAGGGCAGGTTTGGCTGGCTTGACTGCCAAACCCCAGCAACCTGAGCCTGACTGCTTTGTTGAAGCAGGCCCTTAAAGAGCTGAGCTAAGGGGCAAGCCCCTAATATTCTTTAATAAATATCAAATAACTCTGTCTTCAAATCACAGTAATAAACTACCTAATGTACTACCACACATTAAAATATTTTACAAAGCATATAAAAATGTCTACCAATTCATTAATGTTGGTAATGCGTTCCAATTTGTATGACTGGAATCTGAGTCGGAAGATAAACTATCCTTGGCATTGCAAATTCCCGTTTCTCCTTATTACCATTTATTTATTTATTTATTTGGCACAGTGAGTGCTGCATCCAGGCCCTTATACATGATATCCATCTTTATATACCCTCTGTCTTTCAGAAAGGATATTCAACATCACTAAATGAGAATCTAAAACGTAATAGCACCAGATAAAAAGATTAGCATCTGTCTATAGACATTCTCCTTTCTAACACTGCTTGAAGACTTCATCAAACTGTGAAATGCAAGTAAAATAAAAACACTTATCACAAAAAAGAAAATCTTGTTGTTTTCTTGTTTGTACCTTCAGCAGCTTATTTTCTAGGATGAAGGAGCTGGAGGTGCTACACGGTTAGAAATTACCCTGCTCCCCTAACTCCACACTGGTAAATAAAGTGCTGCTGAGAGGTCCCCAGGCACCCTCATCTACATAAAATGGTTACTTTCAAGCTCAAGCTCACAGGTGCCCAGCTGCCAGCAAGGCCAAATGGACTACAAAGCTTAAATATAAGTGGCGCTTTACAAAAGCAGAGAAAAGCTGACCTCTGAATTAAGGCGTTTGTGGGACATTGTTCTGAGTAAAGAAAATGAGAGCCCAGAAGTGAGCTCTGGGCTCTCACATGTGAGAGCCCAGCATATGTGACAGAGAGGCAGGAATGATTTGGAAAATAATGCTGGGATATCAGTTCCAGAGGAGCAGCGTGGTGCAGCAGGGAGGGAAGTCAGGATACGAAAGATCAAGCTCTAGTAGTTGTCTGAAGACATACTTTTAAATTGTTAAAATTGTTAAACAATCTAAAAATTTAATATAAAACAGTAATTTACAATTGAATATAGAGTCTGGAGCTCAGAAGAACAGTCACATTGTTACTTTTACAAGTTCTCTCATACTATGGAATTATGAAATTCCAGGGAACACTGTAAGGCATCGTTCTTGAGCCTCCACCTTTTTGTATTGAAAATTAAGAACAACAAAATGAAATCAATTGATAAACTTAAGAACAATAAATAAAACTATGATGTTTGTAAAAGAACATTCAATATGTTCAACATTAAAAAAATTCAAATTTCTCAGATGAATATTAAAATATTAACTAAGACTCTTAATACTGGGAAGGATATGATATTATGCTTTCAGGCTACAGTTTTAATAAACAATAAAGGAGAATGTGAAAAATACTGTATGCGCTTTTTCTGGGGAAAATCAAGTAATACAAAACAAAAAACAAAACACCCATCCCAAAGGTATTAGAACATTAAGAACAAGAACAAAAATGATAGGAAGCCTACAGAGGATCTTTCTTTATGGTAGGTTATACAGGAAAGTGTTTGCGGTGCAAGTGGAAGAAAATTTCCAGGGGCCCCTTTAAGAGAGATGAGAGTGGATAGGAGCTACAAAAAAGAAAATCTAGCAGGTAAGGACAACATTCATTGCAGCCCTCGCTGCACCAGGGCCTTTGCTCCTGCTGGCTGCAGGTAGTGCAGGTACCACATGACCTCCCACTGCATACCTGGGAGGCAAAAATGGTGCATTTCCTATGGGCCATGGTTTGCAGTTTGCGCAGCTGTGCCCCTTGGAAAGTGTGACCTGTAGCCTAAGAGACTCCATTCATTTAAAAACCTATCTGTGCCCGAAGGGTCGGCCTGATACTTTAGCGGATTAAAGCACCTGTTTAGGCAGAGCATAGCGGCTGGGATTTAATCCCTCTCGATCCCAGTCATGCCTTGCAGGCCCTGCCCATGGGGTGCACTGAGACAGTGATTGAAACTTGGCCTGGTGGCATGCACCTGTAATCCCAACTCTTGGAGAATCACTATGAGTCCCAACTGCACAGAGAGACCCTGTAGACCCTGTCTTAAGTTCAGAAAATGAAAAATCTACCTGTGGCTGAAAAGAAAAAATTGTATCAATACAGTTGCTCAAAGGTCAATGTAATACATTCTAAATTCAACTGAACAAGCTTCACAAATATGAGCTGTCTATGATAAGGTACTTGTGTAAGTTCATCTCTGTAAATGTGATAGAAAAGTGGGCCAGGCTGGCCTTACAGGTAACTTTCCATGGAATTATGATTTATATAAGCCCTGAAACATATGTCGGTTTGAGAAATAAGTACTTGAAAAAAAATTTCTTGCTCACCTGAACACTGTAAGGCCTCTTCCTTTTTGTAGAAGCTTTACTGCAGCCTGCCATGGATTCCTGGTTTTGTTGGATGCTAGATGGCGCTGTGGACACAGCAGTCACTGATTCTCAGAAGGGCCCCATGGCTTGGAGCTCTGTAGTGTGAGCTTAAGGAGTGGAAGCAATCTGTTATGAAGCTGAACTGTTTTCTTCTAAGCAGGAGACTTTATATTTTGTAAGGGTTTTTTTTTGTGTGTGTGTGCGCAGAGTCTCACAATGCAGCATGGACTCAGAGTGATCCTCCTGATTTCTGCCTCCCTAGTGCTGGAATTACAGGTGTGCGACACCACTCCAGGACTCCATCGCTGGCTCAGTGTGCCCGGGGGTGGGCCGATGTGGCATGCAGTGCTAGGGATCAAACCCTGGCCCTGTGCTTATCTAAGAAAGAGAATTTATATTTTAATGAGGCATCTTCCACATAGAGATCTAACCAGACAAAACAAAAAAATAACAGCAACAGTGGAAAAAAAAAAACAGAAACACAAAAGAAAACAAAAAGCTACTTAGGTAGAGCTAGTATACCCAAGAAGACTTAACAAATAAAGTTATGACAGGTGATAAAATTTCTGGTCTCAGTACCAATGATGCAGTTTTATTGAAGTAAATATTTATAAATAAAGCCTCAGACATGGCCTATTGAGCATATTTAAGTAGCACACAGTGGGCATTTGTTGTCAAATGTGGAATTTGTAGTCAAAACTGAACTACCATGAGCAGCTGTAGGGACTGACGCAGCCATGACTACTGTCTCACAATAGCTCTTCCTCAGAGAAACATCCACGGTCTCTAGGTCCTTACCAGAAGTAGATCAGTACGTTTAAACTGTGGGTGCCAGTGTATCGTAACTTTCTAGCCTCAGCCAGTTGGTGATATCACAGTGTGGGATGCAGCACAGTCCGGGGGCCCGTCTTAGTGGTCTGCGAAGTGTTGCCTGGTGCTATCATCCATACAGTGGAATTCTTCTTGGGACTGTGAGGCTATTAGTGAGGCTACTTAAAAATTCCTTTATCATTGAAGCTAAAGTGATTGGTGCACTCAGCAGTGTCAAGTCTGGTCACCTTATGGAACAGTGAGAACA